TAATTTTTGTGTTATTTCACATCGTGAGTTAATTATTACATTTTCATAATAATGCATTTACCGTTCGAACGTAAAGGACTATACGTTCGAATTTAGTACGAATTCTAAAGGAATATTTATTCATATTTTTTGTAGCAGATGTATATGTTTGTTAAAGACACTATTTTAAAGGCTAAACCTTTATCTAAATATAGCATCTGGTTAAAAAAAATGCAAAGTGGTCCCGTTTCTCAGCAGTTTTTGACCGACCGTGCAAAATTTCGAAAAATGATTAAATTATGTAGTCTCAGTGATATGTATTATATTATTTGCTATAAATAATGATAAATAATTACTGTAAGTGAAGTTGAAATAATTTTTAGTTTTGTATTTTCGGGCAGTGCGGTTATTTCGACTAATTTGTTCGAAAGCCTAGAGATTTTGATATATGTGTGGATAATATTTATATTCAATGAATGAGAAGGAGACTTCATATTCAACAAGTGGAAAAAACCTGAGTAAGTACATCAAGTCATATCTAAATAATCTGGAATCTATGTTATTAATTACCGAATTCCAAATTAGCCATATAATGTCATATTATCTAAATTATTGCTAATATTTACATAAGATTGTTTACAATAATTATTTCATTTACACTTAACCATATTTGAATAGAAATGTTATTAAACTGCAAATCAGTAATCCACTTAATATTGATGCGTTACATAATTCGAAATTTGTTGAAGCAATATCAGTCATATTGCAGCAGTTTGCAGAAACATCGATCACTTTTGGAAAATATTCATTCCAGAATTCAAAAGCCTGAAATAAAAATTATTTGGAATCAATTAAATATATGGTATTGTGGACAATAAATCCATATTTTATTATAAATCGGAAGGCACGATGTATACGAATATTTTATGAGTTTAGTTCTAATGATCGGAGGTTGCAGCAATAAAGGTTTTATTATTATTTTTTACATATCAGTTTATTTAAAAGCCATACGTTTAGCCCTAGGTTTCGTTCAGTAGAAAAATATTAAAAAGTTTGATGTTACCCTAATTAACAAGTCAGAGGTCACCTGACCAAACCTTATACTATAATAAAATATTCATATTTTATAGTATGGTAAGCGACACAACATAAACAAAAAAAATACAATTATATATCACAAAGAATTTTTTTTCAGTATGATTTGAATTTAATTTGTATTCAATTTTGAATTATCTTAACGATGTTCAAAATTTTTGAAGATTAAAAAAATCAAATCGTAAAATAAAAATTTGGTCCTTATATAATATCCACTAATAAAAAGATTTTTTTATCAGTTACTAAATAGATTAGAAGTTTTTTATTTTATGCACAAAAGTGAACTAAGTATATACAACATTTAATTGATAACATATTTTTGAATATTTTGAATATATAATCGTAAGAATATAAGAGTATACCTTATAGTTCATAGTTGCCGAATGGCTCATATTGAAACTTCTATCAATGACTAGAAATCCTGGAGATTTTGATGTAAAGTTATCCCATCGGATATAAACACCCACTTTCGATGGGTTAGTGTATTTAATAAAGTTTGCCCAAAATATCATAACAATATCTGAGACTCTTTGTCTGCGCTATCCCATGGCGTCCCATCTGAGAGCAGTCCCCAATAAGGGACGCCCCATACAAAGGCTAAATCGAGCCTATGGGGAACGCCAAGCCATTCTGGTAGTCCTGACGTTACAGCAACCGATCTTGGTTTTAAGTCAAACCTGTAATAATCAATAATCAGTCAATGAATATCGAAATCAAAATTATTTATTATGATGCCACAAAGAAGAAATGGCAATTTGATTAAAAAATTCTTATGTTATGGATGTTTTTAAGACAAATCAAAAACCAAAATCATATTAAATTTATAAAGATAATAGGAAAGCTGTATTATTCACACTATATATATCAAAAACTTAATAAACAAAATAATTCACCAATAAATATTAATAATTATCAAAGCCTACCTATAAGCGAATGTAGGAGAGTGCCTGCTACATAACATAGCAAAAAGAAATGATGGGGCACCGAAGTGTTTTTCGGTCATGAAGGCTATGTAACGTTTTCGAAGATCTTCCGGGTCTTCTGAAGGTGGTTGAGGACTGTAGAAAAATGACACCGCATCCACTATATGCTGATTATCTAATGGGCACGATTGATTGTCTGTCGGGGGCATTTCAGCTAATACAGTATCACCTGGAATTTATAGATTATTAATAGAAGACAGTATTAATGTTAAAGGGCATATTTTTAAATAGGTACAAAATCATAAAATCTGTCGACCTTTGAAATATAAATTTTATTAATTCGAGGTTTTATCAACTTCCCGAAGGAGAAGTTTATGTTTTCATCAAAAAATCCGATTCGCTAATTTTATGTTTTCTCGACGTTGTCAAGCCATTCTGAATCGAATGAGTCAAATTTGGAAAAAGTATGTGTGTATGTGAACAGATTTTTTGCCGTAAATCGACGTTTTCTCGAAAACGGCTGGGCCGATTTCAATAATTTAAAAGCCATTCGATGTATCTCGACGAGGACTATCGTTTGTCAGTTTTGTGCGACGATCTGCCAAGCCGTTTTTTTGTAATTTAAAAAAAAGTGTTAAACTTTTCGTCCACATTTAAGCTCATCATACCGAACAATAAAAAATCAAAAACTGTTCGAAAGATATTAGTTGGGAATGGTACTGATTAGTTTTAGGTGAAAATCTACCGAGCCGTTTTCTTGTAATTAACTGTTAAAAAAATTTAAGCCGATTTTTATGCAATTTTTTTAGCGATATATATCAAGGTCCTATAGAACTTACAGAAATATTACGGCCTTACGACAAGTAGTTTATTTTTAAAAATTCATCAAAGTTTGAGAGAATTGGTAGTTTTTTTGACGTTAGCTAAAATTAATTAGACGATTTACTTGGTATATCATATAGTACTTAGCAGTGGCGTCGGAACCAAATTTTTGATGGGTGGGCTCTGTTTTTTTTTTTTTTTTAGATAGACAGCCAGTGGTCTTGTTTTTTTTTTTTAGAGATATTAGCCCATATAATTTTTTGAAATTGATGGGTGGGCTGAGCCCCCCCATCAAAATTCATGGGTGGGCTCAAGCCCACGCAGCCCACGCGGTTCCGTCTTCATAAACATACTAAACCATTAAAATCCTACGGAAACTGGTTCAAATATAATAAATGTTGATTTTTGAAAAGTTGCTTTTTGTAAATACTCCGAATTAACGTGTTCGTTCGTTTTCAATTATGTGTAATAAATCCACTCATAAATTAATTTATTTTTTATTGATTAAGTCGATTATTTACACATATCGGGAAGTTCATGTAACTTGCCTCAAGGCTAAATACCAATACCAACTAGTTTTTATTAATATGAGAATGAGGTGTTTTGTTCGACAAAGAAACATATTGATATGCTAAAACATGAGTAAAACAGCCAATGCGTCGAAATAAAAACAAATATTTATTTTTGTTTATACGTTTCGTGACGCTTTATATATAAATCTACAAATTTTTTTACGTTTTAGAAATCCTATCGACTTGAAATTTCTGGACTTTTTCTAAAATTTCATTAGCTGTCGATCAATGAAAAAATCAGGACGACAAAATGTGTGGTCCAGCCAGACTACTCCGACCGTTCGAAGGTAAATAAATATCCGACCGACGGAGGGTTAATTAATTTAAAAATTACAATTGTTTAACACCTTGGCTAACACGTGTATACGGCTGTCGTTTATAGACAGCATCCACATCACATGACGAGGACCTTTGCTTCAAGGCTTATCACTGTGAGTTAAAATATTAAAAATACTAATTTCATCCTAATTTTTAGTTATTTTGAGGTGCAATTTGTAATTTTCAAATATATTTTTATACATATAACGACTGAAAAATTTTAAAATATGTTGTTGTGCTTGGTTCATTCAGTAGTACATACTACTAGGCGGCACCCTATTCCGTATGGCAACGTCACTCCAGCAAATAAAAACACAATTATAATAATTTAAATATTTAATTACACGATTTTTTAGAAAAATTATCTTGATAATAGTTTTCTATTTGAAACTATATTGAGTTATAAGCAACTGATATTTACTAATTATATAGTGATATTTTCGAATATCTAAAATCGTTGCTATTCTTCTAAATTGCGAATATTTGTGTAAATGATGGCAGGACTATTATTGGTAATTAGTGGTCATAAAATTGTATAAAATATTATCAACACATTTTTCGATTGATGTTGAACCTTTGTATGCAATAGTGTAGTATCAGGTTATTTTCTAACTAACCTTGCATCGTCAATCGATTTTCGTTTCGTTTTATGATACCGTTTTGACAGTTGTTTAGATATGATTTAGTTAACTACTAATTTATTACAATTAGACATCATACCTATACTTACCTAGCATCGATTCAAAATGGGCAGGGTCGATTCCGTTCTGATCTATTTCACTTCCAGCAATTGATAGGGCGTCTTCTCCGTCCGTGAACCCGATAAGAACGGGCACTTGGGTGAACTGACCGCGCTCGAACATGGCACGGGGGTCCTCTTGAATAAATGATATCGTTGAATTGCTTAAGCCAGCATCTAAAACTGGACCCCATTTTGTTACTCGGGCTGTTTGTTGTAATAATGTTGAAGCCTAAAAAGAAAATAATAATTTTATTATTTTTATTTTTGGTTGTGATTGTGAGAATTGATGTAATTTATTCTAAAAATTTAATTTTGTTCTGTATGAGTGCTAATGGTCACTACATACCCCATTTTTTGTATTTTCTAGTCAAAGAATGAAAATCTTATGATGAATGCTCCAGCTGAGAGCATCGGTGTGACCCAGCCTAAAGGGTGGATATTTAGTGATTGTTTTTGCAATATCTAAGAATATTCGTCAAACACAAATGTGCAGACATTCCATAGTGTGGAGATGGCTATATATGTGTTCAATGCTGGTTATTTTGAAATGTCCAGTACTAGGTGCCACTTTGTAAAATCATATTTTTTGTTACCAAAGTTTGATTGATAGTATTAATTACTGTTTAGCAAAGATTGCGTTTTTGTTAACTTAGTTTGATTTTTAACTTTGTTATCTAACATAAATCACAATTTAATAAACAATTCGTAAAATATTTTTTGATTTATTTATGAAAAATTTTAGGTGTCCGGCACTCGGAGACTTCCCCCTATACATAATTCACTTAATCAATTACAATTGAGATTTAGTTTTAGGTAAATGTTCACTGTATTTTAAAAATAAAATTTTCACTTTTACAAAATATTAATCAATACGATTTTCAATGACAGGCCAAACCGTTTCTTTGAAATTAGCAGAAAAGTGTAAATTTATTTTTCAATATTTTAGCCCAAAATCTTGAAAATTCAAAAACCGTTTGAAAAATATTGGTTGGAAATCGCATTATTTCATTTGTGGTAAAAATCGTATCTTTGTGAATAATGTTGAATTTTTTTTTGACTAGTCAAAACTTTGAGGCTAGATGAACCTTTGTACGGAGATAGATTTATAGTCTGTAATAATATAGTAAAATATTTTAGGTCTAGGATAAGCGGCTAAATGATAAAAATTAACCAAAATTATGAGATTCTAATCAGAATCTACGCCCTTTTGCATATATGCAGGTTCCGTGTTTCGTGAATAGCTACTGATTACAGTTTTATCTTTAGAACCCAAAATGGATAAAATAAAATGTGTTAAATAAATTAATTTTATTTATATAATTTATATAACAGATATTATAAGTGTGTTCGAAAGACATCAATTGGAAATTGATTAATATTTAGTAAAAGCGAATATTTTATTTTCAAAATATACAGTGAAAATTTTTCTAAATCTGAATCTCAATTCTTATTGATTAAGTGGATTACGAATACGTATCTGTAAGTTTTTCTAAATTTAATTTGAGTGTATAATTGAATCCAAACGACTTTATTATTATAAATTAATATGATACGGTAATTATCGTATAAATTAGATTTTCAATAATAAATCCCCAAATAAATAGTGAAAAGGTAGAATATAATTTTGTGATTATCTCAATACAATACAATGTAATAAAGAAATGAAAGAATATTTATAATCCAAAACATTTAATTTGCATTGAAGCCCAGCCTAACTGAATTATAAGAAATTTGTAATGAAAATCTACTGCTTTTTAACATGTTGATTGAGGAGGTCTTCAGACCTATACATGTTTTATTTCAAAAATAGTTTCATTTGAAAATTGTAATTTAGTGACGGCGGCAAAAAGTGTTCTTTGGATCCTGTCATATGATGGGATCCAAAGAAGGATATCCTTAGTGATTCTATCTATAGGAATCACTAACTAGTTGGTTCTACTATGCCGCTAAATTGAGGATAGATTTATAATAAATGTGATACTGTTATCAGCGTGTCAAGAAAGAAGAAGAGGCATGTTGACACACTGTCGACGCCCGCAGTCAAGCTCTTAATTCTTATTTTGAAAAATCTATTCAAGTACGTACTTTCAAATGATATTTAAAATTTCATATAATGATCTAAATACTGTATGTATGTCTTGGCCGATTTATAAATTTAGATTAGTGTCCGATTCATTATTTTGGATCAGAGTGCATTCATTAGTGATAATCCCATCTAATGTGCATATTGATTGATCCTACCTTAACATTTCGTAAGCATGCTATTAGATTATCAGTTGGTCTTCTAAAGCAGCCGAACAGATAAGCGACACGATTTAGTGTGCGCAAATGCCTCTTAGGATCCTGAACCGTTCCTTCCGTTAAAGCGTTTCCGCTCATCGCAATGATTCGATGGAACATGCCGTTCGACCATTCACCCGCCGTCATGTGCAATGTGGCGCTCACCGCACCAGAACCGTGCCCGATCAGGCAAACTGAATCCTTGTTGCCACCGAATTGTTCAATATTTCTATTGATCTATAAACAGTAAAATGACTATATTTTATAATATATTTAGATCATCGTGTTTATATATCTAAGGTTATCATTTTTCACCAGACTTTTGTTATTATGAAACTGTGGATCAAGCATTTTATGGGCTCGCCCGTAGGTAAGCGGTTAAGAGCGACGGGACTTGTTTTAGAGGTCCCGGTTCGATACCCGCTTCGAGCAGCCTATTGTCAGGCAGTAGTGACAACGACTTTCACTTGGAAATATAGATAGCAATATGTTTCCAAGTGAAAATAGCCCATTGCTGCACCAATAAAAAAGTCAGCCCTATTAGATTTATTCTAATAACAAATATCATCAAATATGGATGGATTAACCATTGGGTTACCATCTAAAAAATACGAAGTGAGGAGAAGTTTCAGCCCAACAGATCATAGGACGTAAGGTTCTGATTGCTGTTAAAAATATTCAAAAAAAAGTATTTTATAATTTTACAATCCTGATTAAATGTTTCATCTTTAGATGCAACATTTTGTTCACCCATTTCACCTTGCACTGTCAATCAATTTCAAAAAATTCATAGTTATACAAATAATCTTAATTCTAGTTTAATTAGGTGTAATCGTTTCATTATTTTTGACTATGATTCTAGACTTAGAAATAGTATTTACGGTTACGGATCGCAAGTTTGAAAGAACAAAATTAATGAAAATCAACCACTACAACCAGAAAATGGTCACAATTTCACGAGAGCTCTATTTAAAAAAAGCTCATAACTTTGTTATACATAAGTACATAACATTTTTTTTTAATTTTTTTCATGATTGTTACGATCTATACTATCATCTCGTTTCAGTATTGAGTTCTGGGAAACCTCATGCATAATTATATATCTTATATGTATTAATATATATCTGGAAAATTTTTATTCGACGTTGAAACATATAGGTATAATTTAATTAATTACTTAGCAGCCGTTGCGTCAAAAAATATCAATTTATTGAAATGTTGTAAATTTTGTATCATTTGCAAGATTCATCTTATTATTTGTTTATTTTTGTGGGAAATTTTATTAAAATATTTCTACGCCATTGGTGTATGTATATATCCGAGTATCTTTGAATGAATTAAGGATTTAAATCAAAAATGTTTCTCACCGATAATGTGTAAAAAAATATGAGGGTTTGACAAGAAGAAATAATAACTTGCAATAAAACTTTATGAAAAACGTTCATACAGTCTGGATTTTTTTGCAATTATACAATTATTTTCAAATTTAGCTCACTGTTACAAAATTATTATAATGGTCATTTGAAAGTTGAACAAAAATCCTTTAAAAAACTTATAAAAATGCAAATTCTCATTATTTATAAAAAAATCAATAATATTGTTATATTAAAAGTTTGTTAAACAATCCAAAATTGAAAAACAACGTATTTTTTATCATTTTGAATGATTACTAACAATAAGTGAAATACTTATTCGATGTTTATTTAGGGAGCATAACTAGTGTAACCGCCTAAAAAAGGTGATTTTGGGGAATTTATATTAAAAAAAAACTTTATCAATTATTTCAAAATTTTAAGAATATATTTGCACATGTTTTAAGAATACTTAATAAATTTTTTGAAGAAAAATATTAAATATTTTTTAAGTTATCGTCGATCTCCAACGGCACGAAAAAAAAGACCGCGAAGTGATTCCGGCCTTCGCGTGGATGAAATTTAAAAAAAAATCTCAATAAACTAGGTAACTAGGTATTGTCTGTAAAATGAACTACGATAGAAAAAAATCCAAAAATTGACAAAATGGCAGCGTTTTAAAAAAAAGTCGAATTTTACCCAAAATTTTGGTCGTTTTTGGACTGCCAAAATTCGATTTTTGATCCGATCAAAAAATCAATAGTTCATTTAACGGAGAACTATATATAGAACATGCAAAAAAAATTTGATAGTGATCGGATTATTTGTGTAGTTATTATTTGAGTAATCGCTGCAGCAAATTCGGAAAATGCTGTTTCGAGAAAAACGCGTTTAAAGATTAAATGATCGTTATACTATATACTATATATATAGTCTTTAAATGGCTGTGACTCAAAAACTATTTAAGATATCGATTTAAAATTTTGGTATGTTATTTTTAAAGGTATAACCGGAATATTGAAATATTGAAAATTCGATTTTTGAAAATTTCACACTAGTTGTGCCCCTTAAAAAACGAAAATTTCATTTTACTTTCGACAAATTATTATTCACCATAAGTTTGTTTCCTTAGTAAGTATAATTATTATACTAACTAACCCATCTCAATGCTGCAGCTTGATCCATGAGTCCAAAGTTTCCAGGAGCTTCCCCATCTACCGTAGTGAAGAAACCAAAAATACCTAACCGATATGCCACGGTTACTACTATGATCTTTTGCTTGAAAACTAATTGGAAAGGATCGATATTATTTGCACTGCCGCTAATGAACTCTCCTGGATGAAACCACACTGCAACACTGTAGCCATCTGATGGCGCTGGACCTACGAAAAAATCAAGAATATGTTACACATATTTTATGAAAATAATTTTAAGTATTAAAGGAATAAGATTATTTATTTGTTGGGCCGATAAATGGAGATGGTAGTCTTTACCCATCTCTACCAGCGTATAATGTACACATAATCAATTATGATTATCACGATGAATCGACAGGATTTTTTTCGAAGAGGGTAAATTCAATTATATTTTTTTGTACTCATATTTAAAAGCAATCAGAATGTTCTATGAGCTATTAGGCTGGAACTTCTTCATACTTCGTACTTTTAGATGGAAACCCAACTGTTTATCCATTCATATTTTATTATTTTGTTGTTAGAACTTATCTACTAAAGCTGATATTTTATTCAATTTGTTGTAGCAATTTAGGCAAAGGTCTTTTGCATTTGCAAGAATATTTACGATCTATATTTCCAAGTAATTGATATTGCTGCATAGGGGTTGTTTGTGATGGGGCAGTTTTTCAATGAAAATCATTTCATTTAGCAAAAACATTGAATTTATCATATGTTGATCACGAACGAGCACGACATTTTATATTTACATTTTACGAAACTTAAACGAATAGATTGCAATGCATTGTTTTTAAAAGATTTCAAAACAATACTGCGTAATGAGTATTGCATATGATGTGTAGTGTTAGAAGTATCGAGGCAAAAGATCGATATTGAGTACTTTAAAAAGTATCTAATCAAAATATCGATGCCAAAAAAATATCGTGGCGAAAGTATCGATAGTACTCAATATCGAATTTTGAGTACTTTTCATAAAAATCAAACATAAGTGCAAGAAAGATCTAAAACTCATTAAATATCATATCACAATATTAGAATGAATTCTATTGCTTGTATCTGATGTGTTAAATCAGAATCATTTTCAATATTGTAAAATGTTAACAGTAATTTTTCAATACTAATTTCAAATTCTATACTTCTTAAAAAAAATACAAGTTATAATAGTTGAGTATTTTTGATTAAAACAATATAATAGTCTGATACTATATTCAAAATGCAATTTTATTCATTTTTAAGTATTTTTAAGTACAATAATATTTTTAATATTTTTAAGTAAAATAATATTTTATAATTGTTTATTATATTATTTTATAATAATATTTTATAATTGTTGAACATTTTTATATGAATAATTTTAGCGAGCATGCAACTTTAAAAGCCGTTACATGTGTACATAAAAGTGCAATATGAACCTCTTTGAAAAGCAATAAACATTCAGTTTAATGACGGCCAAAATAATATTTCGGCACTTGAAAAACATCCCTTCGGAGCGATGGGATTTAAAGTTTAAATGGTTCCGAGAAACTCAAACCCATTTGTTTGCATGCTGATATTCAAAAATTTCAATACATGAGTATTTGCGTAAAAAAGAATCGAAATATATTATTTCGAATAATGATACTCAACCATTTCAATATATTAGTATTTTGCGTAAAAAAGAATCGAAATACGAGGTGTGTTCAAAAAGTACCCGGAATTACTAATAATTAAATTTCGCGGGTCTGGAGTGTCTGATTGTCAAAATTTTTTTTTATTGTGTTGGTATACATGCCCCTAAAGTATGATGAAATTTTCAGCTATATTCACTGTTTACTTTGTCTGTGGTAGTCGCTAAGGTTCGACGTGTTTTTCTGAGCTCGGCGATTTTTACAATGGAAGAATTGAAAAGTCAAAGAATTTGTATTAAATTTTGCGTAAAAAATGAAATAAAGTGTTGCAAAGTGCAAAAATTCACCAGATATGGCTCCGTGTGACTTTTTCCTATTCCCAAAGTTGAAGAGACCCATGAAAGGACGGCGGTTTTCCTCGATTGAAGAAATAAAGGCCGAATCGCTGAGAGTGCTCAAGGACATATCAAAAAGTGAATATCAAGGGTGCTTCGAAATTGGAAAAAACGCTGGCATAAGTGTATTATATCTGGGGGGGACTACTTTGAAGGGGACCACATTAATGTAGACGAATAAATAAATATTTTTTTGAAAAAACGAAAATTCCGGGTACTTTTTGAACAGACCTCGTATATTATTTCGAATAATAATACTCAACCATTTCAATATATATATAAAAAAATATATTTACATTTTAAAATATAATAAACACAAAATACTAATATGTATATTGAAATCGATTAATATTATTATTTGAAATAATTATATTTCGATTCTTTTTTACGCAAAATACTAATATATTGAAATTGGTAAGTATTATTATTTGAAATAATCATACTTCGATTGTTGAATATGTTTTTATAAAACATTTAAGGTATTTTGAATCATTTTATTTTTTCATTTTACATAAGCGTAATAAATAAACATCTTTAGTTATTAGTGTGGTCATATTCATTTTGGGTTTTTGAGCAATAAATTCTGAGACTAATGACCCTTCGGGATCATTTTTTGACACTTCTTTGAACAATTATGACCACCTAGGGAGACTATTGCTTTGCATTTGGCAATGAGTGGGGTTAATAGTTGGTCGATGAGTAGTTTATAGATTACGCTGTCGATTCTTTTTGAGTACTATCGACGAAAAGAATCGATATTGGCAAATAGATCGAGCTAAAAAATCGATAGCAAAAGTACTCACTATCGACCGCAAAGTATCGATATTTACTCAGTAGTCTATATTTCGTTCTAACACTAAATTGATGTGAAGTCACCTTAGAAAATAATTTGATGGCTAATCTGTTCCTAAGCATTGGCAAAAAAAGATCTGGATACGCACATTTATAAATGCGTTATTTTTGCTTTGTCAATACAATTTATTAATCAATCATTAAACAGGTGAAATTAAAAGTTGTAATTTTTAATATAGTCAAAATTATTAAAAGAGTCGTCCACCTAATGAATGTGACTTTTTGTCAGCGTCAATATAATTCGTTGATCAATCATTAGACAGATGAAATTTAAATAATTTCTGATATTATAATTTTGACATACAAATATTAATACAATATCTTGGCGTCAACAATATAAAAGTGTAGTTAACCTCCCGTAGTGTATGTTATTAAAAACGATAAATATTTAAATACGTAATTTTTTGACTAAAGGCAAGTTCATACATTGAGTTTTAGCATCTCTACACATTGTGCTTTTTATTCCAAACATTAATTAGTTTTTGTAATCAAGTTATGAACTCTTGGTGAAAAAGAATGGGTCACAGGCATTTATAAATAGGTACAATATTTTGCTGAGAGTCGACACAATTTGTTTAAATTTAAAGTTTTAATTTATGATATTATAATTTCTTTATACTATTTGACGTACATATTTCGGCGTTAACAATGTTAAAAGTGTTGTAACTTTATGCAGCATCTGTTGTAACTTATGCATTGAAATTTAGCATCTTTGAAATTCTGCCTTTCATCCGAAAAGTTAATGATACTTTGTAATTAAACCATAAACTCTATTGCTATGCTAAGTTTTGTTAAGATCGTCAATAATTTTTTTCAACAAGTAATTACGAAAAAACGGCTCGGCTGATTCTTACCAAAATCTGATATCTTTCGAACAGTTTTTGAATTATCGAAACTGGTTCAAGATTTTTGGCGAAAAATTCTGCACTTATCTGGTAATTATAAAGAAACGGCTTGACCAATCGTCTCGAACAACTAATTAACACGAGTTCCATCAAAAGCCGTTTAAATTCTTGATACCAGTTCAGCCATTTTTGAGAAACTTTGCCGAAAGGTGAAATTTTTTGCTCACATACACATACATACACACTTTTTCCAATTTTGGCGAAGAATTTGATACGTCGTCAAAATATGAAGTTAGCAAATCGAATTTTCTGGCAAAAACATAAACTCGATCATTCCTTCAAGAAGTTAAAAAAGAATTATATGATATCTACGCTTCATATCTCCCGACCATTTTACCACACCCTGTAAAGAACATGTGCGTGTGAACCCGGAGTATGTTATATACGACAACAGGGCAACCTATGTGGATGGTTCAAACGCCGTTTGACTTCTATTGGCATTACTTTGCAAAAGCTTTTCAGAATTATGAACAGGAAGCAAATAAAAGAAATGCACAATAAGTAAGTAATGCAAAAAAAGTATTTGACAAATGAAATTATCAGGTTTTGCATAATGAAGCTTATAAACAGTACGATCTTAGTAAAAAATGCGCCCACAACATTTATATTTAGTATTGGTTGAGTAATGTAGCTAATAATTCGTATTATTCCATTTAAAATTAAAAATGAGGTACAGTTTTCTCTCTGGTTGTTATTTTTATCATGCATATGGGGCAAAAAGGGAGATGGCAAATTTTAAAATAATAGTGTAAAAAATATTTTTATGATTAAGAATTAACTAGGTAATTTACTGAACACTGTTGTATAGTTGTTTATTTGATAAGTGTTATGTGTTGTCATATAGTTGATTTGGTTCTAGGCAGTATAATTACTGAAAGTCAGATTGGACCGTTGTGCCCCGCTCTATAAACAAAGTTTAATACCATTTAATTTAATTTTTTAAACTTGAAATGTGACTTGCCAAAAGGAAGATTTGCTTAAATGAAACCAAATCAGCTCATATCACATTTACCCTGAGAGAGGGTACGTGTCCTCCAATTTATATAAATAAAGTCCAGATTCCGAAACAGAACGTAGTGAAATATCTTGGTCTCCATTTAGACAGAAGACTTACTTGGAAAAGCCACATAAAAACAAAAAAAACAGCAAATAATGATCAAAATGAAAGAATTTGATTGGCTACTGCGTAAAAAGCCTAAGCTCTCTGTTGAAAATAAGTTGCTGCTATATAAATCAATCATTAAACCAATCTGGATCTACGGAATTGATCTCTGGGGATGTGCCTACAAATCAAATATAGCTATAATGCAGAGAACTCAGTCAAAAATTTTACGTACAATACTTAATTCTCCGCGGTACGTGACAAATGAAACCATTCACAGGAACCTCAACATGAAAACGGTGCAATTAACGTTCAAAGAATTTAAGGAAAAATACAAACGTAAACTGGAATCACATTCAAATCCATCAATAGGCGACATTACCCAACCATTTGACGTAAGAAGATATGAAGACGCCAATGGCCTTTAGATTAGCTTCAATATA